AGTTCTGATGATGGTGTATAATGCTCAAGAGTTACTGGGTTTCAGACTTTGTGTCTCATTCAGTTTCATAAAAACTAGAAAACACAACTGGAAACAGATCCAGTTTCCGAAATATTGTGTTTTCTAGTTTTTAGAACACTGAACGATGGATAAGTCCAAAAATCCAGTAACTCTGACAAATATAAACCTATTTTCATATATAATAATGGTTGGCAGGAAACGTTTAGGGAATTGGCACAGGGAAATTTTCCCCAATTATTCTAAATAACATTAATTAGTATCTTTAATAAGATTCACTGTAAGAGCAAATAACATACACTAAACATGATAGTGTCTTAATCTCGCACAGTAAGTTCCTAACCTTTTCTTAGTCTTCTCAATCTTGACACAGTGACAACTATTTTCTGAACAAATTGACATTGAGTATTACCAACCCTCTCTAGTATAGGAAGTTTCAGAACACAGCCCATGATCAACAAAACATCCGTTGATATTATTTTGAAAATATATTTACCAGTAGTCAGTGGTCCTATGGCAGAATTTCTTCTATAGCCTCTTAAAAATATATATAAAACACAATGACAAAAGCACAGTTGAAACCATTACCTCTTTGTCAGTGATGTTACCACTCCTTTGTACTACTTCCTACCATATTTCAATGAAAATATAAATTATACCTCTTTGATGCTACTATGGAACCAAGATTTGCCATGTTTACACTATTGGATCCATCATATCATGTAAATAAATTGGTTATTGATACAGTTCTAACTTATCAGTACAATGCAAGTTTGGTCATGACCTATGTAGATAAATCTGTCAAACCCTTGGAATTACTGGATTTTTGGACTACCTGCCAAACTCTTGTTGCAACACAGAAGACCTTACTTTGTGTGACAAGTAAGGTGAAACTAGCCTCACGTAATATAAATGGATGATTTTAGTTCATCTTAAAGCACGCAGACAAAAGCAGGGACTTGGAATCATGAGTACACAGACAGCAAGGTTATAAAATCATGGTAAAAAAAAAAAGTAAAACCATGGAATCATGGTGCAGAAACAGGGAGATGATGAAATCATGGTACGAAGACAGTGGAGTCATGGAATCACACTGCAAAGACAAAACGAACATGGAATCATACTTCAAAGGAAATAGGATCATGGTGCAAAGACAGTAAGAAAACAGAATCATGATGCAAAATTGTGGAACCATGGTATAAAGACAAATGAAATTAAACTGAACAAAAATGAAAGTTGTGGACAAACTTGTGTAGCTGTGAATAAGCAATGAAAATATTTTAAATTAAATTAATAAAAACATGAAGAGCATTCTAAATTTCTGAATTAAAATGATAAAAGTGTAAAGGAACAATTTAAAAACAAATTTTATGTCAATTTTAACATATGTAGCAGAAGCATGAGAAGAAACAAACCTTCAGGCTACACAAATTTATGGATGAGAAGGATTCTGGGAGCCATGACAGCTATCAGTAAATAATCTGACCTGAACTTCATCCCAGGCAGAGGTACTAGAATTCTTCCTATCACATCCATGTTTCGAATAGTCCTGAGGTCCTCCCAGGATCATTTTCAACACATGGATACTAAGAGTTTTTTCACACGAGGTTTGAAGTTGGTTAGGGCATGAAGCTGATTACTTATCAGTGTAAAGTCAAGAGCATCGAAACACAGTTTTATCTACACAAAATCTAAAGAGTCTTCATGGCAAATCTGTCTTAATTAAAGGTACTGAAATTAATATAGTTCATATCAAAATTATGTGAAACAATTACAGAACTGCTTAAAATAACAAATTTTGTACAAACTAAAAATATAAACTACATATGCCATAAGGTAGGAAGTTTGTAAAATTATCCCCTGACATGAAAATGTGAAAATTCTGATTCATGGGGATATGGAGAATTGTTTCAAACTGTCATTTTCTAGGAACCAGAAATCACTGTGAAGTGAGGATGTCTCATTCCTTTTTTTATTTCATTTAGATCTGCATTTTTTCTAAATTATTTAGCTCTGAGCAGACCCCTTTTCTTTCTCTATTGTTCAAAAACAACAAATTAATGGTAACCAAACATGACATCATCTTACCACTGAAATACCCCAATACAAACTAGGAGCAACCACATTAAGTTATAATATAATGTTTTTACAGCTTTTGCCAATTCTGGTTAAAGGAGCCGGAAAGATGCCAATCATTAAGAGCTCTCCAGGAAATCCAATTCTTTATACTAAATATTATATTACATTAAATATCAACATTACATAATAAAGAGATGCAATATAATAAATACATAATTCAAAGACTATGTTCAGCATCTCAAATATATATACATATTAATTTGTCACAGAATCACAATTTTTGTCAACACAATTTCATTATCTGCAGTTATTCTAAAAAAAGACACATATATGCAAACAAAGAACTTCATTCTTTATTCTTATGCAAAGGAACAAATGTTAAAAATACTGAATTATATATTATTTCAAACAGGAACTTCCTAAAATTCAGTATTCAAAAATCAGACTTCATGAAAACTTAAACAATAATGTAACTACTGTCACATACAGAGAATTTCAAAATCTTCTGTGACGTGTGTAATATCTTCAGATGTAGTAGATGCACTTAACTAAGCGTAAGTACCTACAAATAATTATAATGGGCCAAAACGCTACATAATATGCTCTTACTATAATATATAAACATTAACCAAAGATTCTGATAGAGATCACATAAAGATATTTTTATGACTCAAATTAGGCACATAGAGAGTTAATGAATGACAGTTCAGGATGTAAAAACCAAGAGAGCAAATAATCTCAAACAACTCAATGGCCGCTGTTCAGTCCATCAAATAAGATGACATTAAGAACTGAAGAACACAAACATTAACTCCTTATAGATATGACTGCTAATCAGTTCAGCAGCATACTTCCAAACATATCACAATATAACCATATCTAGCTTTGTATGAATACAAATGA